CCCACTTTGTCAGATAGAGATGCTGTTACATTTAAAAGCTCTGGGTCAGCACTATTTTTCAGCAAATTGTATTTACGCGCTGGGACTTGTTTTAAACTCTTTCTAAACCTTACCAAGTAGTCTTTGGGCTACTGTTTCCAGTCTCTGCAAAATAATACTGTGACTAAATGAGCGGACTTATGAGTGGATGGGTTTATTTAAATTTAATGTCTTAATTAGTTGGTTTTTTGTCTTCTGAGTTGCATCTTTGCATCCAATATAAAATATTAACAGACACGACAAAGACAGTGAATTAATTATATATCTCAATGATTGCCTCGTTACATGTGTTTGAAACAAAAATGCTACGTATGTGACAGCACACGCTTCCACAGAGTTGTCAGTGAGATGACATTAGATCACCTTACAGCTTGAACAAGACACACAAACATGTCCACGGGAACCCACCCTTCATCTTCAGTGCTTTATGTGCATGGAAGTAATTCAATTATGTCCCAGCACGTTTGTGTTTGTTTATCCATGTCGCAGCAAAACCTGATTTCGCTCCCCTGAGATATCACACGGGATAAGCAGATGTTGCATAGACCTCCACGACCCCGTAAGTTCCAAAGTCATGATCTGTGTGTGTGTGTGTGGTGGCTTGCTGAGGCGTAGAATCAGTGGCAGCTTTTTTTCCCCTGCTTAGCCTGTGAGTAATGTTCAGACCAGAGCGCGGAAGCTGGGACATGAGGGTTCATTAACTCAGCTGAAGCCTGATGAAGTGGAAAACTCCTAACCTCAAATGTTTTAGCCCAGCAAAAGCTCCACTAAGGGACTATAATTTCACATGGCATGGTAAACGGCCTGACTTCTTTTTCAACCACTGGTAAACAGATAATAGGAAACACACCAAAAATAAAGGTGCCTTTTAGTCAGTGCAAACATACGATTTGAATACTATGCAAAGCGGCATCGGGTTACTTTCTGCCTTATGTAGGGAACACTTCCTGGCTTTGCAGTAAATAACACGGTTGAGGATTGCTGTATGTTGAAGGTGTAGCACATTGTGACCACAGTGTTTACGTCTTAGAGGCTCCAATTGT